CAATCATTTCGTGCCATCCGTTAATATCTCTATCTACTCTGTCATTGAGGTCTATAGAGGTTAATTTGCTTCGTCTTCGAAGAGAGTTTATTTTCTCTATTACTGAAATTGTCATCGGGCCCATATATAACAATTAATGTGTATTTTTTGTGCTCTAAGTTATTTGTATGGTCGTGATCCTTTCATTTATGGCTCTTAAATTCAAAATGATTTTATTAGATTCATTATGGATTCTGCAGCATATTCCGTCCCTCGCATGCTCCTGATTGTTAACTCCTACAAAGTATAATATATGTTCCAATTTGCCCTCTCTTTTTCCCTTATTTTTTGTTCCCGTAAGCCCTACTATGTATAGTTGGACTTTCTTTGATTCTTCGACCAATTCCATCTCCTTTTCTCTGATATCCTCCACATTCCACGTTCCTTGTATATTTTACCTTTTTTCGTGCTTGGTCTTGCACCATGATATTCTACTGGCCCTAACTTCTTTTCTGATTTTTCATGTTTGTAAATTTCAGTTAGATAGGGCTTATCGTAGCTGTTTCCTGATGAATGAGTCGCCTTCTTAGAGTTTTCAGGCCTAATCTCTCCTGCTCCATGACGTTCGTGGAAAACTGACCTGGCTCGGAGATAAAGTACCTCACTCAGGCTGCAATGGTATCCACTCTCCTTTCTCAATCTGATTTGGGAACGGTTTTGGTGGATTTCAATATTAAGACAAATCTCTGTAAATACTAATATAAATCCTTATTTATGAATTTTAATGTTATGTTATTTAACTTCTTCATAATAAAATCACAGATTCATGTTTAAAATAAACCTCACTGCTATATTTAGATTTTAACTTCGATGTACCCTGTTTAACTGTAAACTTATTAAACGCTTGTGTGAAACTGTTTATGATGTTTCACACTCGTTCAAATGTGTATGTAAACTCCTGAAATGTGATTAATCAAGAAATATGTGTAAGTTTGGTCTGATTTCATACTTACGTTCACAGTTTTGTGTTTTTTAGTTTGTTAGTAAATAGTTTACCGGAGCAATAACTGAAGCTTCTCCTTCTTTCCCTCTATAACTTTATATATTGTAATAGAACCAGCGTTTTTCTTTAAATTAGATTTAAAGTTATGTGTTTAAAATTGGTTGTGTTTTGTTATTATAAAATAGTGTTCCTTACAACCACTTCACCTATTTATTTGGTGTTGTATTGGTCTAACCATAACTGTCCATATCTTAGAAACCTTATGGCAGTATCCCATTTTAATGTTCATTTTCTTCAGTTAGTCCATACACTTGAGATAACTTTGACAAAGTTGGTATGTTTAGTTCCATCATAATCCTTTAACATGAATGTTTCTTTTTCTTGTCCAGTTATCAGTGGAACTTTCTTTTCCATCACAATTACGCATTAGGGATAGTATTGTTCACTTTATGTGTGATTTTCGGTTTTGTATGTATTCTATTTCTCAAAGATTTTATTTGTTACACCTGTTTATTTAGCATTTAGCTGTTTTGATATTTTATGATTACTGTATAGTATTTTTATGTTGCCGCTATAGAATTTTAATATTTCTATTTTAAATTTCATTATTAGTACTTTTTACTATTTCTGGTACTTGTTCATAAGTGTCATGTTTGGACTATGCGTGGGCCTAGATCACATTATCACACTGTACATAGACTGTCAAAATTAGTAGAGTTTATCCAAACAGGTATAACTGTTCTCCTGAATCCTAATTATCTGCGATTCAAGGATCCATAATTTTTCAATATCATCTTAACTTTCTTCTTATTAATAAATATAGATAACAGTGTGAACTGACTTATACATAGAGTTTAGGCTACATTGTATGCCAATAATCAATTGATTATTATGTTTCAGACCGAAAATAATGATTATCGCAACCCCGCATATGTATCTTTAAGCACAGTAACTGCTAACAATAATCATAATGCCAGAAATAAAAAAATAGCTCATTTATTATCCGAGAATAATAATAAATACATTTCTCTAAAATGATCTGGGATATTGCAAATTATGCATGAATTATGTTGCTTACAATTTTTATTTTAAAATTCATTAAACATTAATACAAATAAGATTGTATTTGACTTCAGAGAATTTGATAAAATTTGATTATTTGTGTAATTTCCTCTGTTACATACTATCTCTCAGTATCTATTGGCATACTGTTAATAATTTTGTCCCTGATTTTTAAGGAATTTCATCCTATGGTAAAACTGTTCTCAATTGCTGAAGGTTAAGAGGCTGTGAATAGTGCAGGGCATCCTTCATTTGCTGAATGGGTTGAAGTATAGAGACAATGTGAGAAGGGGCAGACGTAAAATGCCCAGCTTTTTAAGACACCGATAAACAACTCTTCCTCTGTGAGGACGCGCATTGTCGTCAAGAAAACGGAAATCTTGGCCAATTACGACCCTGGTACTCCTCTATAATTTCTTGAACATAATAAACTGCATTGAGATTACCGTCCACTATATGGAATAGAACCCGTCCTCCTGAGTAGAAGCCTACCATACCACCGCACTTCCATCTCTCAGATTGCATTGAAGGGAGTAAACTGGCGGTGTACTCTTCGGGGTCTACGATTGCTGTATATACTGAAATGCAACTCGTCTGTAAACAAAACAGCATTCCAATTTGTATCCTTATAGTACTAATGTATCCTAGGCACTCACTGCACCACAATCTGGGGTGTTGGAGGCAAGACGTTATTGCTGCTATAGTTAGACCAACTTCCCACTAACAATTAAGAATGGTTTTGAGGTGACATGGATCTTGGCAGAACATTTGACACTTCATTTAGGCTGTGTGAAAAGGGTTGCTTCCTTCAGTAAAACAATATTTCTGTCAGCAATTGGTGTCGTTATGTGCTAATGTCCACTAACAGGTCTAGTATTAGTACTTTTAGTTTCTCTGAATCTGGTTAAAGCCTGGGACAGCACACTCAGGGCTACACCAACTACATCGGTGATATATACTTGTCGCTAACCTTGACCGCTCATTCTCAAGATAATATTGCAAACTTCTGGCTTAATATGATGTCTTTCCATCGTTAAACATAATATTACTGTATTAAAATTGAGAAAAGCCGGAAAAAAAAACAAAAAAAAACTGTTGGCTTACACAAGGTGTATTCCTCATGTTGACTAACCAATTAAATTATTAGTTAATAATTTATTAAAAATAAAGAATACTTGTTGTTTACTTTTTATATTTACCAACAAATAAGAGAATCCTTAAGAAACAAAAAATGAAAGTTAAATTTAAACAAATAAAATAATAATCATTCAGAAATATCCCTATTCATTTTTTAGCAGATTATATTAGATAAAATTGATGTGCTATTAACTAAAATTTAAAAAAAAAATAATAACATAATCAATTTTTTTATATTTACATATATAATTGCACAAAATATAATTTATCTATTGTAAATGAAAAAGTTTAATCCTTTGATTGCCGACGGAATACATGCCTTCCTGTTAAGAGTTGGATTGGTGCAGCCGGGATATGTGCCTTCCTGCCTGGGGGGATGTCACTTGAACAGGTAGGGGCAAGTCCCACCTTCACTATTTGACATGTGGCGTGGTCGGTGCATTCATTAGTTCCCTAGAGCTGACTCAGTATAACATTCTGGATTCTGACCATTAGAAAACTAACAGTTGCAGATTTATTCTGAACCCAACTTATGTCCTTTCTCTATTATTTGTGTCATATCCATGATCTTATTTGTATTCTATTTAAATGTTTTATACATCAAATATATATTAATAAGTTAATTTTAAGGGGGAGTGAGGGAGGCGGGCGATTGCACCCGAATTAAAAGCAGATAGGGGGCAAGAATATTGTTTCGTCCTGCTCCTCTCCCAATATTTCGAAGAACAATAACAAAATCAGTAACAATTAATCCACCCGAATGAATAAAATATGTAGTCCTCCATGCCCCAGTGATGGAATATTTTTCATCACCCTACTCACAACATTAGCCTTTTTATTTAAGGCATTTCCAAACTCTTTTATTTAATTTTTTTATCTAACTTTTGTACAGTTGATAGAAAAGCAATGAGATAATTTGAAAGTATAATTCATCACCAAGTACATTTAAAGAGAAAGAGCCTGACAGGCTCTCGGCTCATGATGAGTCCACCATCGCCTGGACCGATTCTGTCTCGACTCATATGAATCCACCGTCACTTGGGCCAAATTCCGTCTTGACTTATACATGAGTCTACCATCGTTAAAGGATTAACAATGGTTAACTACATGAATTTTATCCACCATTAGAATTGTCTTGTAAGCTGGATTTTCACAAGGAACCCCAGTGTCTGATGTTAAAAATGTTTTTTTTTCAATTGATGATCTACTTATTGAGACTCGCCAATATCATTAAAATTGATATTATTATCGCTGTAGAGATTAAGCCATTTCAATTTAACCACAAACAATGATGTTTTACCAGGAAATATTTTTGTTCTTAAGACCTTAGTTTCTGAGATATTTTCAAAACCAAACTAAAACAAACAACTCATTTGAGTAAAAGATAAGGCTAGAATAAAAAATCAAAGTAAACAAACCAAAATTTATAAAAATAATTCTCTCTCATTCACTCATTTGTCACGTCAATGAAAGAAATTTTTACTTTCACTTACCTATAGTAAGGGACAGTATTAGGACTGTGAAAACTTTTGAATCTGAGTTTTCAACAGAAATACCTATAACCAAGTTCCGCAAAGTGGTCTATTTGTGTGTGGGTGTGTCTGTATATATGTGACAGGTCTAGCTCAAAAACGAAAAGTTGTAAGAAAGTGAAATTGCATATTTAAGGTTTGTTTAATACCCGAGATGTTACATAAACTTTTTCGTCAAAATCGGCAACCCGGAGTGGCACTTTATATCATCGATGAAACACATTTTTTAATATTTTCTCGAAAATGGCTCCAATGATCTTGATTAAATTCATTATATCAGTGTAAAATTAAGCAGTTTTTAATGTTATCTAGGTTTTATTCTCATTGATTTTCTCTAACAGTGCTAATTTTCAATATTAGCTTCCTCTAAAGTTTTTTTATTTGAAACAATTGACCGTTTCACATTGATCTTCTTCTTCTCTCACTATCTCCTGTGTGCTGCTAAGCGTGGAGTAGCTGCCTCTGACCATCTTGTCAAACGGTCCCTGTCCTGTGTAATCCTTCTCATCTCCGGCATGATGCTTCCTCTTGCTGCGCCAATTCTCTCTATCAAGTCTGCATACATAAGCCTTGGCCTGCCTTGAGGTCGCCTTCCTTGCTTCTAGAAGCCACCTGGCCTTACGGTCATCTCCCATTCTATTGACATGACCATACCACTTCAACTGCCTTTCTTCAATCATCTCTAGGACGGATCTAACTCCTAGTTCATCTCGCACCCTTTCATTGCTTATTCGGTCTCGCCTGGTTTTTCCCAATATTTTCCGTAGGAATCTCATTTCTGCAGAGACAATCTTGCTGGCATGGCGGTCCAAGAGTGTCCAGCTCTCCAATGTATAGCAGCACTGGGAGAAAAACTGATTTGAATAGCAGAATCTTCGCTTTTCTGCTCAACTCCAGCTTTCCAATGAGTGTCATGGGTATTTGGTAGTATATTCCATTGGCCTTTTGGACTCTATTCATGACCTCCTGGTCTATCCTTCCATCCTTGCCAATCATTGTTCCCAGGTAGCAGTAGGTATCGGTTTGCTCAAGGATCTCTCCATTGCAAGTGATTCTAAGATCCTCATTCCTTCGTCCAACACACATGACCCTGCTTTTGGAGGGATTGATCTGCATGCTTCTGAGTTGCAGTTCTTCTTGCCACTCATTCACAGCGACCTGGAGCGATTCAGCAGTATCCGCAACCAATACCACATCATCTGCATACAACAATGCCTGTGTCAACACTGGGGTCATATTCCAGTATTCTACTATTGCTCTGGGTGTCCTCCTTTTACAAAAGTTCCAAATGGCATCCATGAAAATTATGAATAGTAGGGGGCTCAGGTTATCGCCCTGTTTAATTCCCCTAAAGAAATGGAATGACCTAGACTCAGTGCCGGCTATCCTTATTACTCCCTTAGAGTCTTGGTACACTGACTTAATTGCACTAATAAGATTTTGTGGGATTCTCCTATCTTGCAATGCATCCCATATTTCCTGTCTAGGAACATTGTCGAAAGCCGCCCGTAAATCTAGAAAAGCTAGGTATACTGCTTTACCTCTATCCCATGCCTTCTCTACACTCATTCTCAGAGAGAAGATATGATCTTGTGTCTGCCTGCCGGGTCTAAAACCTGCCTGTTCCTCTTCCAGATCTTCTTCCACCAAGTTCCTTAGTCTTTGTTCCAGGACTCTAGTGTATACTTTGTATACCACCGATGACAGACATATGGGTCGGTAATTATCGCATATACTTTGGCTTCCCTTCTTATGGATTGGGATAATGATGTTGTTTTCCCACTCTATGGGTATCCTTTTGAGATCCCAAACCTTTTGGAATAGTGTTTGGAGACACTTGACCAACTCATTTCCTCCATATTTTATGAATTTGGGTGCAATACCATCTGGTCCAGCTGCTTTTCCCATCTTTACTTTAGCAATGGCTGCTTCGACTTCCTCCTCTTCTAGGTGTCATCTATGTCGGGGACTTCTGGTTCAGCTCTTCTAAATCTTCTATGGCAATCTCAAAAATTTCATTGCCTTTCTTCTATTTTGAATTTTTCTTGTATTTCCTCCAAACCTCCAATATGTCCCTGTCTTCTGTCACCAGCATGCCATGCTCATCCTTTACACTTCTCACAGGCTTTGCATTTTTGTTCCTTAATGCTCTTGTGATGTGCCAGAATTTCTTTATATTTTCTTTGTAGTTTTTATCCAGTTCTAGCCCGAATTCCTCCCAAGATTTTCTCTTCTCTTCCTTAACTATTCTCTCAGACTGGTTCCTTTTTTCTACTTACAATGCCCAATCTCCTGGCGACTTGCTTCCACAGTACTGTTACACATTGATCTCTAACATAAAATATGAAAGAATTTAATAATGAACTAGAAGAGAAATAACAGAATAGTTGTAATGAAGGAACCCAAAGGGATACGAGCGTGGCCGAGCTGGCCTTAAGATTAGAACAGGCTTCCATGCTAACATGAGCTCAATATAATACTCTGGACCATATTATGTACATATACATTTGCGGTTTTCCTAAATGTTTTTGTTGGCATTATCTAACATTCAATTGTATAGATTACAGCGATATAAATATTAAAATTTGTATATATAAGAGTACTTAAACAAATAAAAATATTCACAATGAAATATAAATCAATATAGCGTTTATAATTTTTACCTTCACTTCTCCTTTGTCTGAAAATACTTATTTCTGCTAAGAAGAGGGCGGTAAGTGAAAGTTGTGTGATATGCGCACCACACCTGATTTTTTTTAGAAATACTAACTATTTCTGTAAAATATAATTTTAGTACAGTTATTTATCGGTTAATCAGCTATTTTTATGAAGAATTTTTTTTTAAACAAAAAAAGTTCTTCATAAAAGTGTATGACAAATTACTCTATTAAAAATAATAATAATTGTGAATATTACTTAAATTTTCTTTGGAAATTGTCGGTTATTCTCCTGGCATTGCACAATCATTGGATAACAGCTGAGGAATCTTCATGTTAGTCCTCAATGCTTCTTGAAGGTTGACTAGGAGTTTCATCTTCAGCTTCTGCTTTTTATAAGCAGAAAGTACTCGTATCACCACACTGCAGGTTTATAAATTCCCCAATTTTGAAAGACCTCTGTAAACTGGAACTCTTGGAACAACCATTCCCTCTCTTTCATTTTTTTTTTTTTGTGTGTGATGATACCCTTATGGTGAATACCTTTTTCTGAACCCAAGAAATATTTACACTTGGATTGATACATACATTATTTCCTAAGGAAGTGGCCACAATGGGTACGCACCCATCCTCGCACCGACCCTAGACTCTGACCCTCCACCAGGCAGGTTATTTGCCAATGCTAATAATTAGTAATCTATTATAACTGTTAATTTAATCTGTAATAATGATTAATTTGTATCCTTAATACCTGTATAAAGATTCCTAATTATAATTTATACTGTGCATCACCAGCAATAGTTTTAGATGAAATTGAAAACTCCTATTTTGTTTTCTTTTTTTTTCTCTTTTAAATTAAGACAATCAACAATATTTCTCAATTTCTTTGGAGAAGACATGATCTATTTAGAGTCAATAGCAAATAGCATAAACTTTTTTTTTTTTTTTTAATATTCATTTAATGCATATTTTAAAAAAAGATATGTACATTTTTGGTTGAAAATTTTCCATTCGTAATTAATTACAGAAATCTGAACATCATTGTGTTAACATCAAATAACTTTGTAAAAATTTAAAGAAAAAAATAAAGACGGGTATAATTAATATTATCTTGTGGAATAATGGATAAAATAAATGGAAGAATAATAATAATAGAAAAAATAAAAACAGATATAACTAATATTTTCTTGTGGAATCCACATTTTTTAATTTTTATATCGAAGGATCCTTTCATGTGAATCTTTTTTCTGAAGCAAGTTTCTCTGGTTCTCAATGTTGGTTGTAAAGGAGACACTTGGATAGAAAAATAATCGTGAATTTGACCTGCAATAGAATTCAAGATTGAAATTGCATTTTTTAAATAACAAAAAAAGTTCTCATTTAACTAAAAACTTAAAATAACAGTGAGTCTTAGGGGTGTAGTGGGATCTGAGTCCACTGTAGCGTGACATTTACTGCTGCCGAATATATTTCTGTTGAAGTGTCTCTCAACTCAACTTTGTAAATATATATTTATTCCAGCTTATAAAATACATTTGAAACTAAATGTTTTTATTCAAAGATGACATAATGATAGAAAATATGGGGACAAATTTCTTGGGTGGAAGGTTTGACACTGGAAACACCATTTTAAGCTAACAAGCATAATAAATTCAACAGTATGAGGTATGCGCTGGCAGACTATGGTCTTGCCATATCTCTACTCTGATGATGTAGATCCATCTCTATCCCTTTTCTTTAACGGTAATTATCGTAGCTGATATGCATAAAAAATACTTGTAAATTTTTTTGTCTTCATCAACGAATAAAAATGGAAGATTCATGCAAATATCGAACTTGCTTTAAGAGAGTGTTCCCATAAACGAAATTTTCATTGATTACTGCAACTATTGCATGCAATTTTTATTTGAAGTCTAAATGAGGTCTGTAATTATCTTCTAGTGGAAACAAATATATAAAACCTGTTCTTACATTGTTTCTCCTCTTTTTAATTTGTTTTATATATACATTGAATAACTTATTTGTTTAAGTATTAAAATAATATCACTTTGCCAGTTTTTAAATATTGTCAGAAAAATGTAAGATTGAAAATATCAGAAAACTCTGATAATATTATTTCATTAATTTTTAGTTTATTTTATACCCAGTTTTTTTTTAATTAGTATTTTGTTTTAAATTCATAGGTAGGTCAATGTGTAATACAATTTATATTCAACCAATTTTATTTGTTTATTTATTATAATTAATTTACATGACCATGATTAAATGTATAAGCTTTTTTAATAGAAAAATTCATTATTATGTATTTTCTTTATAAATTTTATTGTTAAAGATGGTGGAATAGCCGGAACTTGTTGTCAATGATGCATTAAAAATTTGGATACCACATCAAGTCTTAACAACATTATAAACCAACACTGAATAACTAGGTAGGCAGCTTTAAAGCTTATTTAAGATATTGATATCTCCATGTTTGTTTTGCTAATACAGCATTTAAATTTTATATATTTTGGCTTTTTTAATGCCAGCTTAATGATTATGGCTCATTACAATTTTTCATTGCTATGAAATGTTTATAATACGTTATATAAAAGTAAATAATTTTTTCATTAGGATGGTTATAATTACTGTTTTTTTCCTTTGTAATTTTTTTATTATAACTTATCAAATCATTGAATTAGCAGTGTTTTTGTGGTATTCAGAAACAAATATTTTTTATTTATTTCTTTTTAATATGCCTTCAAACATATCAGCACAATCTTAATTTTTTTATTATAAATAGCGATTAAAATATTATTTAAAAATCAACACTTCTTCCTGTTACCCCTTCTTTAATTTAAGCATCTCAATTACTTTTGTCTCTAAATACTTCCTGTTTTTTTTTCTTTTTTACTTTCTGCATTGAATTATTGATTGTTACACTTTATTTAGGTTTTCTTTGGAAATCTGTTAATATGCTTAAGATCCTAATTTTATGTATGTGGAGTTTCAACGGCTTCTTCATTTTTATTGGTCTCACTATTTTCTTCTTTTACTTGGTTGTATAATACCACCATCCATCTTAAAATTTATATCTTTTAATTTTTCTAATTCAAATTTAATCTTTAACACTGTTCCTGTTTTTAACCATAAAATTTATGTACTTTGGTTCACTTTCCCATTTACTGTTACTTTATTCATCCCTCTATAATTTTATTATTTCCATCTATTGTCTTCTATTTTTAAACCTTGCTCGTTTGGTCACCTTGTATTGATCTGGTTCTATAAATATCGGTTTTAAATAATTGATTAAATGTTTTTATGATACGAAAATGGCTGAAAGAATTGGAATCCCGTTCAAGTCTGGTGTTTGCTTGATTTTTCACTTTTTTTCTTTTTGCTTAAGTATTCCTTAAAGTTTCTCTATTTTAAATTCCTTATTTGCATTTTCCCATATTATCCATGTTTTCTAAATCGGATGATTCAAGCTTTGAAAAGTCTCTTCTCTTAAAAATTCTGAATCTTTATTATGAAATGTCTTCAAAAGCTGAAATACCTTTTTTCATTATCAAATAAAGATATAGATTTTTGTTGGAACATCCGGATTTGATTGTTGGTAAGGTATTTATTTACTATTGGTTAAATCTTAAATGAAAGACGGCTGCTTTTAGTTTGTTTTGTTTTTTGCCAATATTTTGACCAACTTTTTAATGTATCACAATGTACCAGCAGCAATGAAAAATATTTATTGATACTTGTCTCCTTACCGAACTAAGATAGTACTTATGAAAGCCTAAAATATGGGTGAAAACGATACCAACAGAAAACAATTTTTGGAGGAGGAGATGGTCTGGATTTCAGTCTTTATATTATAAATATATCAATATCAATATATATATATATATTTTAAATAATTATAATATATAATAAATATAATGTAATGTAGTGTATAATTATTTATATTATAAACTTGAACTGCTATAAGAGTTCATGAATTTTTGATAATTGGTCCATCTCATGTTAGTTTTTTTTTTTTACTTAAGATTGATGTATGAAATCTGATATTGCAAGTATTCATTTTTATTTTATTAATTGCCTCATTACTCTACTTTTACTTCATTATTGTGAATGAAATTTTCTAGCATGGCTGATCTAAATGATTAAATATATCATTGTGTCATTATTGCTTATTCATCAAAGTTCTGTCAACTTTTTTCAGATTTATTTTTTAAGTTTAGTATATTATTATTATTCAAAACATTTACATTTTTGTTAATTTTATTTATTTAATGAAATTCACAACTGTATGAACAATACAACTAGTAAAAATGCACACAACACATTTAAAATAAAATCACATTTGAAATCATCTACCTTATTGTAAGTATATTATATAGATAACTAGATTGTATATAGATAACCATTTCATAATTGTAAATAGTGAGTTATACTTATCTATATAGTTATAGATAACCATTTCATAATTGTAAATAGTGAGTTATACTTGTTATTATAAATATGACTTTGTTTAAAGCTAATGTTTCTTTTTTAGAAATTTAATTTGCTGATTTAATTTTTTTTTTTTGTTTAGAGGTGAGGGTAAGGGGGATGGAGGTGTGATGCAGTCAGAGTGTGCTCGCTATCTAAGTTCTGTTTCTGACCTTTACGTTGGGGACGAAGTGTCAGTACTCCTGGAGGAAATACGGGAGCTGGAAGGCCCCGGGCCGGGCCCGGATGAGTTGCAAGATTTTGAGATAGCAGGGAGTCAAACAGGTGGTGTAGATACTCCTGTTGATGTCACAACTGTTCATTCTTGGGACTCCCATGCTCATTACAAGCATCATCTGCCAGGCTCCTCCCCCACCCATTCAATATTTTCTGGTGTTGTTCTGTATTGTGATGACTCACATCTTAAAACTTCAACTGGTATCATCCGCCTTCTGCTGGTGGTAAGATTCTTCATAAATTCGTTCTTATATTTTTTAAATCCCATAACCTAAAGCATTCTGGCATATTCTAAAATATTTTCTTCTCATTTTATATCTTCCAAAAGTGGGTGTTGTAAATTTATATAATTTTTTACTTAAGACTCAATAGAGGATTTACTAAACAACACTTTTAATCAATACTGTAGCAATTTAAGCACTTGCATATTTATAAATTTGATATCACCTCCTTTATTTTGGATTAATGAAGTATATTTGTTTCATCAGAAAAATTGTATTTATTTTTTTCAACTGTTTTAGTATTTCATTTTGTTTTAATAGTGAATGATTTAAGTTGTCTTTAGTATCCAATTTTCGTTATAAAATTTATTCTATTGAAATAACTAGGAAATTAACAACCAAAAATATGTGTTATAGTTTAATTAATTCATCTTATTTTAGGTATCATCGGTAGCATGTTTAGCATGCTTATGTTCATCTGGCACTGTCAGTATTAAATTGTTTATGTTGCCTCAAGCTGCAAGGTTGAGGCTTATGATGTTCAGTACTGTCTTCAGTGTTTTGATAACATTGCTCTTCCTCTTCTTAGACATATCACATGTTGTCTACCTCTTCCCATTTAATTGGGGGAAATTTGTAAGTACAATGATTATTATGGATTTTATTAAATTTAAATGTTTTTAAAATAACCCAAATATAGAAAAGTATACAGTGTATATGGCATTCCCTCATACATTTATTAATAAAACTATAAACTCTTTTATTAACATAACTAATGTTATATTGTTTTGATAGTAATAGCAGTAATTACTTTTTTTTATAAGTATTGCTTAGTTTTACATATCTGAAGAAATGTTTCTAGATTAACAGATAACCGTTAGTATTTGTTCATAATAAATTTTGTGTTGCTTGTAGTTTCTAGTTTATAGCATTCACTTATTCTTGCTTGTATCATCTGTTGAGGCTCTTGATTTTCAATTTCATTTTGAGTCTTATTAATTGCTTACCACAGAAAAGTATCTTATCCATAGTTTAGTATTTGTTTAAGATTACTTCAACAATATAGAAAGAGCTTTAAAATAGTTTGTATAATAAATATCAATAGTTCGATCATTTTCCTCAGAGAAATTTCTGTTGTGCCCTTATTTATGTTTCACATGTCTTATATGATCATAGCAGACATATAAAATGCCTTTAGGCTTCTTCAGTTCCAATATTTGTTTTAGTTCTGTTTTCAGCTTGATTTATACTTAATTTCAGTTACCCTGAGGTAACTGGTCTACTGGACCTGAAATAGCTAGAAATGTTAGGGGATTTTTCAAATCTAGAAAAGTCAGGGAATTACATGGGGGAAAAATACACTAAAGGTTCAGAAATTTTACAAGCTAGGTGTTGCAAAGTGAACTTAAGTGTTATGATTCATAATTATTGGTTAAAGTAAGTTAACATAACAGTGATTTATACAAAAGTGTATTCATTGCTTGTCATATATATTACATTATGTTAGTATGTTTTTCTTGATAAACAATAGATTTTTTAGTAATTGTTTTTTTCTAATTATATTTATAACAATTTAGAGATAGTTGACTCATAAAATTGTGAGGGGTAACAAATAATCAGGATATGTAGTCTTAATAGCTTATCAATCTCTTGTTGCTACAGACCATGGTCTCCATGTTGCAGCAGCATGCCACACATAGTTCTATAGCTAATCCCTTTGAGGCCAATCTGGTGGTGCTCCCACCGATTCACTCAGGTTCAAGGGCAGTAACAAATTGGTCTAGATCCATGGATTATGGTTGTTCAGTCATCAGGCAAGGACCTTCTCTTCTTTCCCTGAAACAGACCATCCATGGACCTAATCTCTTCAGGGACTATTGACATCCTGGAAAACCTAACCCTGATTTCCTATTAAAGTACACAGGATAAGGTCAGCACTCCTACACTTGGTCGGAGTGAGTTTCCTCCAGTAGCCTGATGGACTTCCTATATTTAGATGAGGGGGAGAGAGGGGAGCGAATTTACTCACATATTTCTTTTTTTTATTTTTAATTATTTAATCATTAATCTCTGGACCAGGATTTGAATCCACAACCCTTGTGTTTGTAGACTAATGCATATTTTTTTTTTCATGCGGTTAACTTGCTGATGACTTATACTATGTCATATTATAACTATCTCAATAACCTGGAAAAATCAAAGAATTCCATAGAATGGTTTTGGTAGACACACTGTTAATACCATCCCTAATGAACATGTTTTTCTGAGTTGAGTGATTCTGATAAATAAATAAATCAATTTAATAATTACATATAAATTATTATTATATTGTCAATACTTTATAAGAAAGAGGGTCTATACTTTGTTAGTTGTTCACAGTCAATTTGTTTACCTTTCTGCTTTTTCTTAAAAGTTGAAAATCTCCTTTGCCCATCCTTTAATGATGTCTCACAATTTTATGAAGCTTTATTAGTTGCATAAAAACAAGGTTGAAACCCTGTATTGTGTTGTCTTTGATAGCTGCAGTGGATGACAAGAATTAGCTATTAATCAATATCTATTATAGATCAGTTTTGAGTCACTTGATAAAGAGCTGGATAGATTACGTGTTCATTTTGGAGGATCATTTGTTGTTCACAGCCAAACTATTTACTTTTCTACAGTTTGTGAAAAGCAAAGAATCCCCATCAGATGAAGTGATTAATTAATGTCAGTCATTAAAATGATATGGGTTATTTTAATGCTGTTTATGATTCCATCTACAGATAGGTGTTCCATCTCTACTTAAGCAATGAAAATGTTCCATCCCTACCTAGCAATGGAAGAGATGGACATCCCACCAAAATCAATACAACTTGACTACAAATAATGCTGATGCACTTTAATGAGAGCGTTAGTAGAATGAAAGTAAACGGAAAGCTTGGCAACCTTTAATTGTAATTAAATTACAATTAATAAGCAATTCCATGTCATACACCGCTGTAAACTCCAAATCATGACGAATAGAGCCAAGCTTAATCAGTATGGTACAATTTTTAACATAATGAGTTAAGTGCTTGATTATTTTGATGATGTGGCTCTGATTGGGCTGTCCAATTACGCTTCGTCCACAATGACGCACCAACCCATACACCTCTCCAAACTTTGTCAGTTTATTTTATGTTATATACAATTTAAATGCAAATTAAGCTTCCTAACAACTTCTTTGAAGTTGAGCATCGATATATTGTAACGTTTTCAAAAGCAACAAAAACAAACAAACGAGTTTCTTTTTTAATATCTTATTTATTTTAACACATAATATACATCTCGAGATGGGTTCTGACAACTGAACACTCATTCACATTTAATAACTATAATTTACCAATTAATAAATACATATAAGAAACGAGATACATACATTATACAGAAATTATACATTTAAAAACCTTTACTGTCCCATCTAAACTTTGTGGCTGCTTCTATTCTCTCAGCTTGCTGGCTTCCCTCTTGACAGCTTGTCACATCTTCTCTTGACGGCTCATGATCTTCTCTCTTAGCCGCTAGCACCTTCCCTCTTGGCGGCCCGTCGCAGTCTCTCTCCCCTGAGCTTACTTCCCCCACTTCTTTCCTGTAGTTCATGTTCTTGCCACTTTCGCGCCACTATTTATATACCATGTAATGTTGACATTACATTTCTCCTCCGTTCCAGTTTAAAAAAAATAAAAATGGAAATTTAAAATTCGGTGCAATATTTACATTTTTTTTTTTTTTTTCATATAAAATAATAAATTTAACTTTTGACATTCACACTTTTTACAATAGATTTCCCAACCTGGTTATCAAACATTTACAATTTTATGTACAAAATTATTGAATTATTTACACTATATTACCTTAATCTACATACAGTAATTACATAACTTATTCATCTAATTTATGTACAGGAAAATTAGATTGATATACAAATAATAAAATAAGCTGAATACATTATTTACCAAAAGAATTTTACCGTACAATTCCCATATCTTATGTATAGTTAACTTACAAAACTGTTTAAATTACATATAACATTCAAAAATATATTTTAACTTGCATTATAGGAATAATCAGAGAGAAGACACTAATTAATTAAGACAATTTTTAACTTTCTTCTAAAATATGGATTTTACCTAGCAATATCCGGCCAACACAACTTATTTAACTTTTAGATATTAATCTATTATCCTATCTACTAATAATGTAATTAGACTATTTACAAAATCATATTTACAAGTTAATTATTTACAAGTATCCAGAATGGGTAACCTGACGATGGTTTCGCCAAGACCCTCTAGCTCGTCAACGGAAGGGACGCTAATTTAAAACCCTTTTTTATCCTCTGGATAGGATAAAGACTACCATGCCTTAAAATAAGATTTTAACCGGCCTGTCCTAACATGGTTCAGAGCCATATAACCATTATATACCTCATCTTCTAGAATAAGTAGGATGACTGGTAATCCATTACACTCAAAATTATATTTAGTGAGTCCACGGAACGACACTTCATATAATCCTGTTCTTTTCTTACTCCAGTCATCAAACTTACCTAACTCATCTTTAAATCGTAGAGTTAACTTTTCTGGAATTAAAGGAACTTCTGAAATAAAATAATTACCATGCTTTTCTTTGCTGGATTTTACTCCTATGAACTCAATTTGAAACTTGAGAAGTTCTTTCTTAATATCTATAAGATTAACTGTATGAGTTTCTACTAGAAATTCTGTTGTCACTAATTTTTCTTCAAGAGTTTCTTCATCTTTTCTTAAGAGATTTTCTGATCCAATATCAATTGAAGAATTAATTTTGTTAAGCTCTTCAGTAACAATTTGCTTCTCATCACTTTCTGAGTGACCAATAGTAGTTTTCTCCGCCAGTTTAGTTTCTTGAACTTCAGTTATATTTGCAATAATTTGGGTTTCTAGGTTATCACAATCTTGTTTCAAAATTCCTTGTTCATTATTAGAACTTTTTTCATCCAGTGTAGTTTCTTGGACTCCAGTCATATTTGCAATCATTTGGGTTTGCTTGTTTTCAATCTCATGAAGAACAGTAATTATTTGTTGAAGCATACCACGCACATCAGCACAACTGAAATTGTTGCTACTATTTATATCTATTTTTTCACCCTCCATATTATTTTCACTAAACTAATTTATTTTATTTAATCCCAACAGACTTTCACTTCCGTTTTCACACTGTCTATTTTCATCAAGTAGGCTTTGTACAACTGACTTTTCCTTATTTTCTACACTAACAACATTCCCATTAGATTTTCTAAGAATTATATCATTAAGATCTCTAACTTCTTATTATCTCTCTCTGCTTATTTTCCATATTACTAAAAAATTATTAATAAAAGAAATAAAATTAAAATTAACAAATATTGCGTGTTCAGTTGTCGTGACTAGGTACGTTTTTAAAAACCACGCTAGTTGGACGCCATATTGTGACGTACTCAAAAGCCACGCTCGTTGGGCGCCATGTTGTTACGTTCCCTTCGTCAACATAAATCAAAACAAACGAGTTTCCTTTTTTAATATTATTTATTTTAACACATAATATACATCTCAAGATGGGTTCTGACAACTGAACACTCATTCACATTTAATAAC